TACTCTGATCAATAGGGACACGTTCGAAACCCCAAAACCCCAAAACCCCATAACTTAAGATTACTTTTCTTATGTGGATGTGAAAAATGTAAAATACCTTGTGTTATATAGTTAGAAGATGCATATATATTAAATAATAATAGATTTTGAAGCTTTTTCAATTAAGCGAGATATTAGTTGACGAAGATATCGCATCGTTTTTCACTTTCTTTTTTGGGCTCTGATCATCTCATTGATCTCATCTCTCTTAATTTGAGCTCTCTTATGGGTTCCGAGTCTCTTTCTGGCAAGCTTAACAGCCTTCTTCTCCTTGGTGGCAATACCAGTACGGATCAATTCAATCATCTTGCGCTCATATGGGGCGAGTCCAGAGACTTCTCTGATAACCTCTCTCACCAATGCGACTCTCTTGCCCAACTTACCCTTTCTGTAAGATGCCTTTTGTTTGCGGGTGTTGACCTTGGGCTTGGTGACAATGAAGCCCTTGTTTAAGCCGACGAAGATTCCAGTCTTGCTTTCCATTTTAATATATATTAATTAATAATCATTCTTGACGAACCCTATTTTTTAAAGCAATTTGCTTATTATAATTCACTCTTAAAATTAATTTCAATGAAAGTAGAAGATAAATTACTGCAAATTCAATAATCTCCTCTAGTCTCGCCCCAACAATTTCTAGATGACTTCAGCAGTGAATTACTGTCAAAAACGTTGCCTCCTAAGCATCATAATTCTAAAGCCAAGAATCTCTCTGAGTTGAGATAGTCAGAAGCAAGAGAACAGCCTGGAAGTTTATAAAGCACTCCAAAATACAAATTATAACCTAAAATTATGAAATCGGCATTTAATATGCCCCCTAAAAGGTAATCGAAAACCTGATAAAGGAATTAGAGTCGTTCTAAAATGATAGAAGAAAAGAGAGAAGTATTTAACAGTAGCTATAGCAAATTCAGGCCTCCTCGAAGTCCTTAACTAGAACTTACTCTAGATTTATAGAAAAGTCGTCACAATAGGAGCTAACTTGAAAACTAGAGTGTCTATCCTTTAGGAGTATAAGATGAATTTCAGCAAATAACTGGAAAGGAGCCTCAACTTAAATTCATAATAGGTGGTATACTAAATTAGTTTAAAAGTTTTAGCAAAGACTAGGATAGTTAAATGCCAAGAATAAGCATTTAAACACACCAAGTTAATCTGAAAGCTGAATAACAGGAAACTTATCGTTCTGCAGTCAAAAGAAATACTTAAGATTTTGACTCTATCACTGAAAATGATATTTCATTCACTAATCGGCATAAAAGTGATAATATCAAAGTCTCAGATAATGTTGACTTTGCTTTAGCAGCAATATCTATAGAAGATTAGAATGCTAAACAACTTAATTAGGAAATTTTTAAATCAGGCTAGGATTAAAGAGAATAAATTCAGATTTATAATAATTCTAAGCTCACCAACAACAACCTAGAGGTAGGCGATTGTGACTTCAAAAAGCTGCCGTAAATCTCTTGTGTATCACCTTACAAGCAAGTAAATCTCGTTGATTTCCCAAATAATCTGAGCAAGCAGAAATAGTAGCAACGAGAGAAATCGTTTGATCTTGGTTCATAAAATCTCAGAAGGAAATAGATGGAATTCAATACTTAAATTGACAACATGAGGTAAAGGAAATACTCAAGCAAGAAACAAAAGCTAATTTCAAATTAGTACCTCGGAGACATTGAGAGATCTGTTAAGATTCATGTGGATCATACTGAAAATAACTTGAGATTTACTAGCTAAAATGATCTGCAAAACATATCATACAATCAAAAGTTTTATTAAAAGTCTAGAATATATGCAAATGATCAAGATTCAATGTAGGGATCTAGGCCCTAGTCTACTAGAAAGGCATTTAAAGATAGAGGAAATATAGATTACTAAACTCTAAGCTTGAAATAATCTAGAATTCAATCAGCGCAAATGTCAAATGAAGATGCCATTAATTCAAGTGCTCTGAATATCCCCATTAACAATAGGATAAATAATCACTATATGCAAGAAAGCTATTAGACTTTTATAAAGAGCTAAACTTAATTCTACAATGATGGTGCTCAAAGGGAATAATTCAGGATTGGAGTAGATTCTAAAGTTATGAGATATGTAAATAGGTAAGGAGTGCCAGAGGAAGCAAAATATTAAGGAAGTTAGAATGATTAAGAATATGATTAGCATATGCATACTTTTCTGAGAAATGAATTTGATAGAAAAAGCTAAATGAATATTAACGAAAATGACAGTGAAGAAGAGTAAAATTTCAATTAAGATGGGAAATTAAAGCCAAGAATAAAGAAACTCTTAATAGAATTCCAGTAGAACAGAAATTTCTCCTCATAACTGTCAAATGAAGAGTTCGATGAAATTTAGCAAATACTGGCTTAAAAACGAAATCTTTTAACAAATAACTGCAGAGTAAAAGCAGGTCGACTTAAAATGCAGGCAGAAAATAAAATAGGATTTTGTAGCAGAAAAGTAAGATCGTTTTAGCTAAGACACTGTGTTATCAAAGGACCTCTTTTCAAATTCTACTAAGATATTTTTAACACTAAATTAGATGGGATTTTAGACTTCGATTTACTGACGATTGATTTAGCCTAAGACCCTGAAAATTTGTGTTTCAAGTTTATAATTTACGGTACTTCAAAGAGCTTCCTATTTTAAGCTTACAATAAAGAAGACTACCAGGAATGGACTGAAGCAATAGCAGAAAATTTGAGTAAAAGCATTGGAAAATATCAACAATAGTTTTAAATTGTGAGATATCCTAAGTTTTGGAAAAATGAAAGAATTTCTGATAATTAGTTTTAGTATAACGTTGATAGTGGGGACATAATGCTGTTTAAAGGCAAAAGCTTCACTTCAAAGTTTAACTAGTTCTTGTAAAATAGTGAATATGGTAATAACTATACTTAATATTAATTCTTTATAGATCATGTAGCTTTATTGCTTAGGTATAGTAGCGGGAATGTGGTACTATTTGAGGCAACAGGAGAAACTGGAGTTATCTTAACTGACTGGAACGAGTTTCTTCTGAATAATTGGATTTCTCAATATCATAAAATTGTCTATAGAAAACTAAATTGGGATAGACCAGCTGATATCTTAATTAGACTTGAAAATTTTATAAGAGTAATATAAATTTAATCTTCACCAATTTAACTGTTTAGACTGCTTTGGGAAAGAAATACAAGATAAAAACATCTTAGCTTTGCTGCAATAGATTCAAGGTTCAAAATGAGAAATCTGGAGAACAAGAAACTTACTTCTGCTCTGAATTAGTAGCTGCAGCTTATTAGTAGATGGGTCTTTTGAGGAGAGATCTGCCAGCTAGTGACTTCTGGCCCAGAAGTTTTTCAAGCAAAAAGAATAGTGTACTTTAGTTAGAATTAGATGCGAAATTAGGAGAAGAGCAAATAATCGATTTTAATCTACATATAATTTCCTAACCTTCAAGTTGTCCCACTTTCAAATTAATTCTCTTCTTGGGGTTTTGGGGTTTTGGGGTTTTGGGG